CTCCAGCCCCCAGCCTGCTCTGGGAATGATGAAAGGCTGAATGAAATAGCTGTGGCTCTTTTTACTAGCCTCGATTCAGACAGGGCCACACTCGCAGCTTCCACAGCCATTGTCTCGGTGTCAGTGGCATGGGGTCCATGGTGCTAACGTTCGGAGAAGTTGCAGGGCGGAGAAACTAAACAAGCTCTTGTAACGTGTTGAGTGCCCTAGGGGCTTAGGGAGGGCTTAGAGCTGGTCTAGTTCTAGGTCCCTTGTAGGTGGGGCAGAAGGCGCTTCTACAGCAAAGCCCCTTCTGCCCCTGGTGAAGGGCTTTGCCAGGCAGGGAGTTTGGACTCCTGGGTTCTGTAGCTGGCTGCAGGGGGGAGAAGAGTCTAGTAGTTGGAGCAAAGGCAACTCTTGACCCAGATCCTCAGAGAGCTGTGTGGGTTGATTCAGAAATGGGCAAGAGCTGGCAGGACTCCTGGCTAAACCAGTACCTGGGCGAGGCAGCCTAACTTGCCTTCATCAGCAGCTTGTTGAATCCACGCTGCTTCAGCTGCAGTATGTGGCTTAGGAACTGCAGCAGCATTGGCCCAGGGGGGAGCTTCCCTGGGCATTGCCACCATTTCCGCTCCCAGAAGATCAGGTAGGTAGTGCCGGCTGCCGGGAGGAGAATTGCTCCATCTCCAAGCTCCATTGCGCCAAACCACTGGGAGACCAAGAGCAGTGCCAAGAGGCGTCTGATCTGATCCACTTTGTACTTGGGTGCGCGCATCTGTGCTGCACCAGGCAGGCAGCAGGGGAGTTGGCTGTATGGCACTGAGGCGTGGGCAGATCTAGATCCTGGGCTGTCCAGTGAGTGAATGCATGACATCTCAATGAAAGGCACCCTGAGATGGTTTCGCCTGCCTCTGCTTTTGGTTTACCCAAACGCTTCGCTTGTCAGGCTCTACGCTCTGGCTTAGGACAAGAAATGCCTGGCCTCTGGCAAGACCCGCGTGCTCGCTCCGTAGACCTGCATTGCCATTACTTTGAACCTGGAGCCAAATCCTGAACCTTCCCTGGTTGGTTTTTTTTTTAGCTGGGAAGCCAAGAGGTGGCTGATCTGATTCACTTACTGCTTGAGTGTGTATGTATATAGAGAGATTCACAGACATTTGTGCTGGAAGGGACCTTGGAAGATCATCGAGTCCGGCCCCCTGCCCCAGGGGCAGGAAGTCAGCTGGGATCATAGGATCCCAAGGCCTTTGACATTGTCTCCCATCGCATCCTCATTAAAAAACTAGGCGACTGTGGCATCGATGCCCACACGGTCAGATGGATTGCAAATTGGCTGAAGGGTCATACTCAGAGGGTGGTGGTGGATGGGTAACATTCGACCTGGGGGGAAGTGGGCAGCGGAGTCCCCCAGGGCTCGGTCCTTCGGCCCGTGCTGTTCAATTTCTTCATCAGCAGTTTGGACAATGGGGTGAAAAGCAACCTGTTTAAATTTGCTGAGGATACCAAAATTTGGGGTGAAGTGGGCACACTAGTAGGGAGGGAAAGACTGCAGCAAGACCTGGATAGGTTGCAGGGGTGGGCTAACAAAAACAGGATGCGTTTCAATACGGACAAGTGCAGGGTGCTGCACGTGGGCAGTAGTAACCGGCAGCACACTTCAAGAGGGATGTGGACAACATTGAGAGGGTCCAGAGGAGGGCCACCCGCATGATCCGGGGACAGCAGGGCAGACCCTACAACGATAGGTTACGGGACCTGAACCTCTTCAGCCTTCACAAGAGAAGGCTGAGGGGGGACCTTGTGACCGTCTATAAACTCACTAGGGGGGACCAGAAGGGTTTGGGGGAGACCTTGTTTCCCCTAGCGCCCCCCGGGATAACAAGGAATAACGGCCACAAGTTGTTGGAGAGTAGGTTTAGATTAGACATCCGTAAGAACTACTTCACTGTCAGGGCGGCTAGGATCTGGAACCGACTTCCATGGGAAGTGGTGCTAGCTCCTACCCTGGGGGGCTTTAAGAAGGGGCTCGATGCCTACCTGACTGGGGTCACTTGAGCCCACTTGTCCTCCTGCCCAGGCAGGGGGTCGGACTTGAAGATCTACAAGGTCCCTTCCGACCCGACTTCTATGATTCTATGATCCCAGCAAGGTAAACATCCAAATGTCTCCTGAAGGCATTGAGTGGGTGCTTGAACCACCTCCAGCGGCAGGCTATTCCAAACCTTGGGGGCTCGGACAGTAAAGAAGTTCTTCCTTATGTCCAGCCTGAAACGGTCTTGGATGAGTTTGTGACCGTTCGACCTTGTCATCCCCTGGGGTGCTCTGGTGAACAGACGTTCCCCCAGATCCTGGTGAGCACCCTGATGCACTTATAGGTGGCCACCAGGACCCCCCTAAGCCTGCGCTTCTCCAGGCTGAAGAGTTGCATGGCTCTCAGCCTCTCTTCATCAGGTGTGTTTTCCTGCCCTCTCATCATGCGTGTGGCTCTCCTCTGCACCCATATATGCTGTCTGGCAGCATTTCTCAGCCCATGGGTTGTGACCCAAAAGTGGGGCACAAGAATATACGAAAGGGTCCCGAGCAAACTTTCAAAATGGATTCCCTTTTAAAGGAGAAAAATGTGAAAAGTGGTAGGTTTCCCCTTCCAGGCTGGCAGAGTTCCAGCCTGCAAGGGGCTGCTGGGTACTGGGGGCTTTGGGAGGAGGGTGATCAGGCAGGGGTGCCACGTGCATGTGTGCATGCACAGATGCATGTGGCAGCCAGGCAGTGTGGAGAGCAGCCCCCACAGGTAAGTCTGTGGGGGGAGAGGGGACTGAGTGGGGAGAATGGGTAATTTATTGGGGGGATGGGGGGGCACAGACGACACTGCCCCCCTCCTTTCTGGGGAAGAGCTGTGCCCTGAGGCGAGTGGCAGCCGGGTCATGGTTGCGGGGTAGAGCTCTGGCCCAGCACGCTGGTGGCTGGCGGTGGGAGAACGCGAGGGCAGCATGGCCCCCTCCCTGTCTGTGACTCCTCGCGTTGCTGGCATCGTGCTGTCATGGGGTTCTGGTTGCCGTGGCGGCAGTGATACCCACTGCCCCAATCTGCCTTCTCGCATTGAGTCCTGCCCTTGCCTACCCAGGCAGGCTGCAGCCGTGTGCATGCGGTGGGTGCACAAATCTGGGGGGGCACAAGGCCCCTAGGCCCCACATCCTCCCACCCCGCACACCCACCCCCTGGCCCACACACCGGAGGGCTGGGACATGGAGGTGTGGGGCAGCAGGACAGGATGGAGGGGCCCCAGCAAGGCTGGCGTGTGGAGGCTGTGCATTGGGAGTGATGGGTGCCACCAGGTCATTTCATCCAAAGAATCGCCAATGATGCAAAGCAATTCAAGTAACCCAGGAGGGTAGTTACAGCATCCAAGGTGCTCCCATGGTTGCAGTGACTTGACTTGACTCTTGCCAGCAGCTGCTGTGACGTTTAAGGAAAAGACCGATTTCAGCAGAGGTGAAAGCCCAGGGGATCATCCCTAGCACCAGTAAGTCCCGGTCCCCTTCTTCAGCCAGCAAACCACACTCTTCCCTCCAGCCGGGAACCCCAAATCCCTCCTCCGTCTCCTTTTCAGACTGGTTTGGAAACTACCGAGGAGTCCTGCTCAAGGGCTTGTGTTTCACTTGCAAAAATATATTCACCTCGCAACCGATCTGCCTTCCATCCCATGCACATGTTGCCCAAGTACCTGCTAGGTGTACTGCCACATGGTTTAGATAAGTGCAGGGCAGCTATTTGGTGAGCACAAACTCAGTGTAGGCTTTATTCGTCGTATCAGCCAGGCGATCAGACTGACCGACAGCAGGGATAGTGCAGGGTTAAACAAATGCAGAGTACATTTCTGTTGCATGAAGCTGACGTTGTTGCTCACGCTTGCTTGGTCACGATTGGTGCTGTGTGCCTTTACAATTTGCTGATTAATGAAGTTATCTAACGACATGTCTTCCCAGATATGTACCATGTACAGCTTATGCTTCTTATCTACTAGAGGAGGCCGGTACTGATCCTTACATCCCAGGATATTCTTGATGTAACTCTGCATGCTCTGATGCACCCTGGGGCTTTCCACAGACCTCTAGACTTGCAGATTTTAACTCTTACTGCTCTTATGGCCTACAACACTGGCATTTCTCCAATGTGGAGACAAACGGAAGTGTGAAAAACACTGTGGGTATGATGGCGAGCTGTGGGCAGAGTGTATGCCTGAAGGGGCTTGCTTGAGAGGTCTCCTCAGTGACACGCGTGTATCGGCCGTTGTAGGGTCAAAGGTCCTTTGCAAGTTTCTCATGAAATTATGGGGCCGCTACGCAACCAAGCAATGTTTGTCAGGAGCCACAAACCATGGATCATGTCCTGAGATGCCCTGTTGAATTCCTCAGGGCAGGGATCTCCCTCCCTGCCTACATAACAAAAGCCTGGTGCCTGGGAGGCGGATGCTCTGGTCACCTGGGGAGGGAACAGCCCCGCGCACCGGCCCAGGTAGCCAGTGATGCTTTTTTAGATTGGTCGGCTTGTGGCCAGCACTGGCAGCTTCGATTGGACCGGGCTGCTGAGGTCAGAGAGGTTATAAAAAGGCCCAGGCCAGGAAGAAGGAAGCCATTAGCCATGCGGTCACCCAGGTGAATCTGAACCTGGCTCCCTCCTCATAACCGCATGCTCAGCGTGCCCTCTACCCTATTTCTGCCCTACCCCCTGTCATCAATAAAGTTCTCCTTTGAGACCGGTGTGGGAGACTTATTGAGGGGTGGGTATAAATTATGCCAAGGAGGCCCCTTAGGTCGGTGGACTAAGGGAGGCTTCCCTAATCAGCCCCTGACTTGGGGAAGTGCCCCAAGTGCCTGTATTGGGTCTAGCACCCATTGGACGATCAGGTCTGTGTTCTCCAAGGTGCGCAGAGCCAGAAGTGAGTCCAGAGCCTTGGATGGTGGCAGCGGGAACCCCAGGCTAGCGGGTGTGCTCCAGGGAAGGGGTCGGCCGGACGGGAGGCACCCCAGGGAGGCACTCGGAGCCTGGAAGGTGGGTGGGCGCAGGGAGGTGGGTGGCTCGATGCAAGAGCGCCCCCTACTGACCCGCCACACTAACAACATGCAAGGTGCTCCAATGGCCTCAGTGGCTTTGGAACTGACTTGCCTTGATTTGACTTGCCAGCAGCTGCTGAGAAGTTTAAGGAAAAGACCGATTTCAGCAGAGGTGAAAGCCCAGGGGATCATCCCTAGCACCGGAGCAGGAATTTCTTCTCAGTAAGTCCCAGTCCCCTTCTTCAGCCAGCAAACTACACTCTCTTCTCCAGCTGGGAACCCCAGATCCCTTCCTCCGTCTCCTTTTCAGACAGGGTAGGAAACTGTACCGCGGAGTCCTGCTCAAGGGTTTGTGTTTCACTTGCAAAAATATATTCACCTCACAACCGATCTGCCTTCCACCCCCGTCCACTTGTTGGCCCCAAGTACCCGCTAGGTGTACTGCCACGTGCTTTAAATAAGTGCATGACAGCTATGTGGTGAGCAGAAACTCAGTGTAGACTTTATTCAGCCTATCAGCCGAGTGATCAGACTGGCTGACAGCAGGGATAGTGCAGGGTTGAACACAAATCCAGAGTGTATTTCTGTTGCGTCGGCTCACATCATTGCTCACACGTGATTGCTCACGTTTGGTGTGATGCGTCTTTGCAATTTGCTGATTAGTGAAGTTAGTAACGTCTTCTCAGGTGTGTACCATGTATGACACACATTTTTTATCTACTAGAGGAGGCCGGTACTGATCCTTACATCCCAGGATATTCTTGATGTAACTCTACACGCTCTGATGCACCCTGGGGCTTTCCACAGACCTCTAGACTTGCAGATTTAAACTCTTACAGCTCTTGGCCTGTCTTAGGGCCGACAGGAGTGCTGTTTCTGCAATATGGGGACAAAAGGAAATATGAAAAACACTGTGGGTATGATGGCCTTCTGTAGGCAGAGTGGATGCCTGAAGGGGCTTGCTTGGGAGGTCTCCTCAACGACACGCGTGTATCAGCCATTTTGGGGTCAAAAGGTCCTTTGCAAGTTGCTCATGAAATCACAGGGCCTTTACGCAACCAAGCAATGTTTGTCAGGCGACACAAACCTGGATCATGTCCTGAGATGCCCTGTAGCACTCCAACGCACCCCACAAGATTTGGGAACACCAACACCTGTGCAGCATATTGGGAGCAGCCCATCTAAAATTTTGGAGTGGAGACATGAAGGAGAAGGAGGTGCTTTGCCCTGTTGCATGCCTGTTCCATGTCCTAGGCGCTGTCGTGCAGCCCTTCCTCCCGTGGGAGGGCATAGAGCTCGTAGTTTGGGGGAACAATCCCAAGTCCGCTCACTTTTGGGGTGAGATCGATTTCCTGCGGCTCTTTTGGTGATTTCAGGGTGAAGCGCTGCAGGATGGTGGTCAGCATCAGGAAGAGCTCCATGAGGGCCAGGCTCTTGCCCAGACACACCCTCTTTCCTGCAGGGATAAGCAGAGCAACGGGCAAATAAATGAACTCCAGTCTGCAAGCATCTAACAGGAGACCTGCCTGAGCTATAAGTCCTGGAAAGTCTCTGGCTAAGGAGAGATGGGAGGAAGGATTCTGCGCTCACCTGCCTCCCATCTCACTTCTCAATCTATAAATGCCGCACCCTCTACAGACCTACATGCTTTTTGTTCCAGGACAAACATAGCACTTTGAGGTGGTGAGGCAACTGAGTCACAGAGGAGTGAACTGGTTCTTCCAGTGTCCTATTTCATGGGAGTCTGAGTGGGGAGTCGAACCCAGTAGGGTTGGGAATGGAGCCGTCACTCGTACCTGTGCCGAACGGCAGAAAGCTATCATTCTTTTTGAAGTGGCCTTCCTCGTCCAGGAAATGCTCCAGGTGAAAGCTTTTTGGGTCCTTGAAATATTTGGGGTCCTGGAGAATTATGCCCAAGGCTGTGGAGACATCTGTATCCTGGGAAAGAGAGGTGGAAACA